CACCATACCATATCATGTCCATATCCTCACCGCAGCCGCAGCCGCAGCCAAAACAACCCCCATGTACCATGCTCAACATCCTACCACAATCAGTATCTACCATACAATAGCCACGAGCTTTTCAGTATAAAACCCACCACTTACTGGTATGCAACTCTGCGTGTACCAAATCGCATAAAACAATCCCTTGATCTAAAATTTACAACAGTATTCCTACTCTGTCAGACATTCTACCTAACCGTAAACTTACGAAAGTGTCCCTACACCGTAAAAAACAATCTACCTACTCTTAAAGATACCGTACAACAGTCTTCCTACTCCCCTCAAACCTTCCACCCACCACTCGCCCACCGCCCAACCAACACACAGACCACCCCCCATCATCCAACTCTCCGTCTTTCCCCGCATTCAACCCCGCCATCCACTAACACCCCTGTCCGCCCTTCCACTCGTTAATTGTTACGCTATGGGAACAACGCGCTAGACGCTATGCGTTAACCCCGGATTGCGCTAACGCGGGTTGGGGGGAGGTGGCGTGGAGATGGGCGTGCGGGATCGTGATGCATGTGTACAACACTATGCTGTAGGTTGGGTAAGGGATGGGCATGGTGTGTACGGTAGGTGTGGGTGTGGCGCGAGGAGGGCAGAGTTCCTTTGCTCCGAGATGGGGTGGTGTTGCGTTGGTGTAGGGGTAGATCACTGTGGATTACGAGGTGGTGGTATGCGGGAGAGAGAGAGAGAGAGAGAGAGAGAGAGAGAGAGAATAGAGGAGCCATGGTATGCCGGTACAGACATACATAGTAAGTTTTTCTATCCTGAGTGTTTCTCCAAGAAAAGATCCAAACCCCTTCGTCTGTACGTTCCCCCATCCATCCATCTCCATTCAAAATTTTAACCCCCCAAATTACATTACAGCACACACGCATAACCACCAACCCCAGCTATCCGTCCACTCCCGCCCCCGCCCCCTCCCCATACACACTCGACCCAGAAAAAGAAAACCAGGTGGTTCGACAACACACCTCACCCATCCACGGAGCCAGCTCCGCCCGCCATTTCGCGTACCCAAACCTCTCCTACCCACGCCACGATGATATCCAGGGTACCTGTCCAGTGTATGTATGATACTGCGCACTGCATCCATGGCCGCAGCCGCATATTTGCCGTGTGTGCGTTGTGCGCGGAGCTTTGACGCGAGCCTGAATTTTCGGATTAGGTGGTGAGTTTTAGCCTTCGTGAGGGCGGAGGCTTGTGTGAGGTGATGTGAGGTGATATGCCCCGCATTTGCTTTGTTACCCTTGTTTGTGCTGGGATTGGCTGGGTGCCGGCCTGTGTTTTTTATTTGGCGGTTGGCAGGCGGGTCGGAGGAAGAGAATGAAAGGGACAGCAATGAGGAAAGGGACGGTTGTGCAAAGGGGTAAGTCTACGTTGGTTTGATTCGTGGGTGTTGGTTGGTTGGTGGTGTGAAGGCTGTGAGATGAGAAAGCAAGGGGACTGGGGAGATGGACATGTTGAGGAAGACGTGTATTGCGATAACTTAGGGCAGAATAGAAAATCCCATTATACCAAGAAACGAATTCCATTTGCACTTTAAACCGTGTGTAACAACAGTAAGAACTCATTTGCGCGTTGACCCTTCGTAACAAACACATATACAACTCTAAACATTGCTCATCTCGCAGCTGCGAACGGCGTGGTATCTCAAGTAAAGCGAACGCGAAAGCGCAAAAGCTAAAGCACCCAACTCCTCGAATCCTAATCGATCCATTGCGTGGACCCATCTCATCTCTGTCATGTCTTCGTATCGGCTGCGCACCGTCACCTCTTCTTTTCTCAGACATTACAATCCAAAATTACCATCTAGCCTATTCAACCCGGCAGTTGCAGCATCGTAGTCGCCTGGGATCATAATGCCTGGGTATAACCGATCACTTCCAGGAGTCGAGCCATAATCGCAATTTCCACTGCTGAATTCTTCACCGCTAGCCAGGCTTTCATCTGTAAAGCTCAATACGCTTTGTGGTGGGGGCGCTTGCTCGCTGTAGTTTCCCCAGTTCCATGCATTTGGCGACCAGGTGGCATTCGACTCAGTAGTGGTAGAGTGACCAGCGACATCAAGCAACGCATCAGCAGGTGGACCACCGTAGATTGTGTCGTAAATGTTTGTCTGGCCATTGTCAAGCGAGGACAGTAATCTCTCCCAATCCGATATCGAAACCTCTGACTTGACACCCGGTGTGGCTTGCAGAGCGTAACTACCAAGAGGATCGTTGGCAAAGGAGAGAAAGTCAATGTTGCGATGCTGAGGCTGGCTTGGTGGCTGGCTTAATCGGTGCGGATTTGGTATGGAGAATGATGCACGGTGCGACAGCGGACTCAATGTTGGTTCTGAGCGAGCAACAGGTGGTTCCGATCGTATCGACGAAAGACTCGTCGATGATGGATTGGTGTGCAGACCCATGTTAGGTGAGATGGCAGGGAGGGTCGCGCGACGTGGTTCCTGTGATTCTTGACGTGCTTTCATAGCAGCTGGAGAGAAGCGCGCAGCGATGGCCTTGAGAGACTTTTGCGTGGCACGAAATGTGTCCAACGGCGCGTGCATGTGGCCCTCGGAATTGTGACGCGAAAGGGGAGGTGCAGGCATCTCCTCCATTCGGGGAACAGCTACGATACTGCAACCCAGGCGACGAAACTCATCAAAACCAGTAGCGTTGCCGCGTTCAAGCATATCCATAACCGTGCAGATGAGACGATTGCTATCCTTGATGAGTTTGCCATCGCGGTCGAGGTCGAGGGTCTGGAATAGAAGGCCGAATCCAGCCTGCACAAGAACTTCATTACGGTTGAGACAGAACGAGAAGCTAAGCTTGCGTTCGTCCAAGAGCTCAACAAGCTGCACAATGTGTTTGCAGGAATCACCGACGGCTACTACGGCCGACGAACCCTTGTCGCCAAGGTTGGCAGCGACTACTGGGCGGTAGATGAGCGAACGGATATGGTGAGATGCCAGTGACTATGAGATGTCAGTACATGTACTGTGTGGTATGGAACTCTGGCATACCAGAACAGGGGATCTGCTGCTAGTCACATTGGTACTTGGCTTGTCTTGCGCGAAAGTCAGCTTGAGGTGGGGCGCAAGGTTGGTCTGCCAGTCTTCAAGCTCATCGATAAGCGATGCGACAGTACGGAAAGAGATCTCGTGTGAGGCCGACGCTGGATAAAGCTTGGTGAGGGCCTTGGACAGAACGCGCGTTATGCGAAAGAGTGCCAGGGCACTTGACAGCTTAGTGTACTCGCCCGGAAGGGTCGGCAAGAATCCTTTCTCGGTGATGTACTCGTCGTCAGCATCAACCGGGTACTCGCAATGCACATCCTCTTCTCTGATGAGCTTGGGCAGTCCGAGATGGGCAGCAGAGAGACTGTCATGGTCAGCGATATAATGATCACAGGCAAGTTACTGAAAACTAACCAGTCAACAGTGTACAGAGACCAGAACACCTTCTTTCTAGTCTCGCTTGTCAATGCATCCAGGGCGAAACGCTTCTGGGATTGGTGCAAGCCAAGACGTTGCGACAGACCAATAGAGAGGCCTTTAAACTTGAGCAGCCGAGAATAGTCGGCCTTGAGCAGACAGAAAATCTGGGCAAGGACAAGGCATTGCAAGGTTGCGACGTCATTCTGCATCATGAAGCTCTCCACAGCGCTCTGCCACTGGGCCTCAAAAGAGTCAACGTCTTGACCATCACGAGGCTGGCATGTTGTTAGCATGGCCTATTCATATGCGGCTGCGCTGTACATACGTCACTTGAGAGCGCCGAAATCCCAAAAACCAGGTTGAGCATAGCAATGGATTTTTTGTCGGTCGTAGTTTCAGGGCTGCCCACATACTGCTCGTACAGGGAGAGAAAGGTCGGGCGATGAAGGATTGGGAACAAAGGCGCCCATTCTTGGAAGAAGATGTTGACCATTTGGTCCGAGACGAGACGAGGAGGAGCCTTGAACGAGACAGTGTGCGTGGAAGTATCCGGTGCAGTTCTTTTGGCACCTGCGCCGAAGAATGCGTCCGAGTCAATGTCAGTGAACAGTCTTCCTGTTTCTTGTGCCTTTTGCTTGAAAGCCTCTGTGCCATGTTAGCGCCTGATGAGGCTCTTAGAGCGATGGATCGATCGTACCAACAAGTGTCCGTCCACTCGAACTACCAACAAAATACGAATCGTTGTTGGCGTCGTCGAGCAGGAGTGGTGCCTGTTGGACCTTGAACGTGTCATCCCTCTCTTGCGATTCCTCGCGATTTTCTGAGAGGACGGGTGAATGCAAAGACGGTCGCCTGATGTTTGCGTGTGCTGTTGAAGAATGCGAGTGCATGCGCGAAAGCATGTCGATCTTCTCATCTTTCTCGTCTAGTAATTCCTTCAACTCGCGCACTTCTGCTTCCAGGACCCGCACGCGCTCTTCAAGCGACTCGGTATATCCTCTGGGGAAAGCGCGACGGCTGAGTTTGTCGCTGGTCTTGCACTCAAAGCCGACATTGGTGCATTGCGTGCAGCTGGGGCGTATGCCATCGCAACGTATCTTTTTGGAGCGACATCGGTCGCACGCTTGGGCGATGCGAGACTGACAGCTTGTGCCGACTTTGATCACTTTCATGGGCAGAATCCCAGGCATGGCGGCGGTTGGAGTAGGTGGTGTGCGTCGGGTGTGCTGATATGCGATATGCGATTGCGATGGGCGTGCTGGTGGTTGGCCGGGCCCGGCGGGCGGGTGACTTATGGCGTCGTGTCACGGGCTGTCATCCAAGGAAGCGATACTCTCCGCTTTGCCCGCGCTGTCGACAAACAGTCTTTCCGGCGAAGCGTCGTGTCCTTGTACAGAATGATAAGATGTACCCGGTGCAACAGTGCAGTGGTATGGGCGACGAAACAGTGAAGTAGAATCGGGCGGGGCGGGTACACGAGAAGTCCGGGGGTGGTGGGGGAGGAGTGTCTACCAAGTGAAAAAGGGTGGGCGGAAGATTGGGAACGGGCTGGCAGATGTAGGCGGCGTGAAGCGGCGCCTTAGCCCTAACGTTAGGCCTTGTTATACGGTACGGTAGAGTATAACCCCAGCAAGCTTGGGATATTCCGGGGTAAGCCCACAGCCGGGATCGAGTCAATCTGTGGGCGGTCCTGCGGGGCAAACCAATGGAGTCATATGGACAGGCGCTACTACTCTCTACCCATCTATCCTGTCATCCACCACGCTGCCGTTGCTTTTTCGTCCATTCAAGTCGCCACCAAAACCCCAACAACAACACCAGAGGGCACAGTAGTAGGTAGATCAGGATGAGCGTGATCAACATGCAGGGGAGAAAAAGTTCGCCTGCTCCGTCAGTAGAGTAGGTACCTAGTACGAACCAAAGCAGTTTGCCATCCTGGCAAAAACAGCCACCATTCCGCAATCTCCTCATCTCTTCTCCTCCATGGCTCAGGCTCGATGGAAGCGAGACTGGTGGGGTGTCGTGACTTCACAGCGACACGATACACAGGCGTCGATAGCTGCGTCCTCCTCATCTTCGTGGTGGGAGACGGCCCGAATATCGTGATTGCTCGTGCTGTGCCACCACCCAACCGCTCGTTCCCAAACATCCATCATCAACGTCCATGTAACACCATCATGTACGATGTAGATCTATTGTACCTCGACATATCACGGGCGTAGCCTGCTGCTGTCAGTGGATGCATAGGTGATGCTTCGTAGAAACTACTGGAGCACAGGCTGTTGCTGGCTTTCCAGGCTTCCGACCTTCCACCGACCCAGCCTCACTGTACATCTATCTATGGCTGTGTAGACTTGTTTGTTGCTGCGGAACACACAGAGTGACGCTTAAAGAAATATCGTAATAGTAGCATGGACGTATAGGCCAGGAACTTTTCCCTGAAAGATGCCTGCCAACCATTCAGCAGAATCAGGCCCATTCCTCTCGAAGACTAGTCGACATAGCCGCGCCTCATTAGCCGTGCAAACTTGATATGACGACTGCAAAACAACTTTCAAGACCGGTGAAGTTCTGTGTGGGTGCTCATGAAGGTACTGTTAGTCGATCCAGCGATGAAGGTATACTGGCCTAACTCTAACATGCAACGTCTTCTGACTAGGCAGTTGGAGTCTTGGACATCATGAACGACCAGAGACCAATGGCGTGACGAATGACACTTCAGAACATCCAGCATTCAACCACATGCACTTACTGATTGAGGACGCAGGATGGACAAGGTTCCACAATTAGAAAACGAATAGTGCAGGCCTGATGCTTCCATAACCTTCCATCATAGACGCGCTGCCTGCCCTGCCGGGTGACCTAAATGGTTCGTTGGCACATGGATGCAGGGAGCGTGTGGATGCAAAGTAGATTGCCTGGCACCACCAGCATATATGATCTCGTCTATAGCCGCCACATCTCTCTGTCTTGGGCCCCTCTGAAGAAATACATCTATGTGGGGTCTTTCACCCTCACGAAAAGTCGACTTCTTCATTGACGCCCTCGCCGTTTGCGATTGCCAGGTACTGTTGGACCGTGTCGGATTGAATGAGGTGTGTCTTTTGGGCTTCAAAGGCAGCCACAGCACGTTCGAGCATCTCTAGCTCTAGACTTCGAAGTCGTCTTGCAAGGTTCCACGGCACATCTCGGACGGCAGGCTCTCGGTCCACGTCCTGCGTTTGCTTCAGAGTTTCCATCTGCATCTCGACTCGATTCTGTAAGAGAACTGTGGCACGAAGTTGAAAAACATCCCATGCTGGATCTTCCTCCATATACTCGCGAAGTTTCAGCGGGTCTAGTTCCTTTTCTTTCCAGAAGGCCTGAATCTCTCTGTCGCCATCAACCGTTTGCCTGACTTTGAAGTCCAACCCATCCTCTTCGTTGGCCACCACAAGCCAGATGAAGTCGCTTTCCCAGCCAATTGCGTTTTCCTTGTCGAATATGCGAAACCCTGGTGCTGCAGTGGAAACGTACATTTTTGCTGGCCGTAGTGGGTCATCGTCCGGAATGTCAAGATGCAAGAACATAACCCTTGCTGATGTGAGGGCATCCTCTAGGAACCCATAAGAAAATACGTTCTCACAAGCACCCTTTTCATCTCCATACCTGTTTTTCTTAGCGTCAAGATAACCAAGAACTCTGATTTACATACGTGATTGTAATCTCACCACCAGGCATAATATGTTTACCTTGGCGTAAAAGTAGTAGTCCATTTCCAATACTGTCTGTTTCGTACAATGCAGCTGTAGCGTCTCCAGAAGCATGATTCGCCATGTCAACGCAGGGCATCATGCAGTCACCGGCCCCTGGAAACTCCAGCGCTCTTGACCGGTACATGGCATCGACACGCATCCAATCATCAAACGTCAGGATACCTGCATCTTCATGCCACCAGTACTTTGCACACCATTCAATAGGCTCAGTCGCGGTCCGCAATAGTTCGAACTCACGTAGCAGGCTGTTGAGCTTGGCACGTACCGCAGGCTGGAGAGTGGTGCCAGTGAGGAGTTCCTGCTCCTCTTCTGTCCAGAAGGTTGGCAGAAGTTCATCAGGTAAAAACTTGATGTACTCTGTGAGTGGATTCGAAACACCAACGTTTTTTGTGTCTGGACAGCAAATCGTCGCTTGGAAGAGCAGAAAGGTAAGCACTGAGCCCCGAGTGGTCTGCTGAACGAGTCAGTCATAATGTCAATTGATTGTGGTGGGGGGTCATCGCACCCTTCCAAAATCACCAAGGGCTTCTAGAAGTTCACGAAGATGATGATCTGACTTGGCAAAAGACTCGATATTCAGTCGGGAGATGATGAGGTCTTTCGGAACGACTAGGAGAGGTGTAGCGTTGCCTCCTTCGAGTTCACCGTCTGCAATGACAGTCGAGCCTCGTTCCTCGAATCCGGGTAGCGGTCCAATCTTGACACGATTGAATGCAACGCCATGGAACTTGGCCCACGTCGGCAGGGCCTCGATTGGCTGTCGAAGCCAGCCTTCAGCCCTCCCCCTTCTTATCATGATGTCCGATGGCAGTGATCGTGACTGTCAGGATAGCAGCACAATAACAAAAGCGACGGACAGCAGTCTTGACGTAGCTCGTGATTACTGGGGATAATGGAGCAATCGGAACGTAAGCTAACCAACGCGTAGCGCAGGTTGTGTGATGCGGCCAAGTTGCCGTGTTATCGAACAACGAAGGTACTAGTTATGTGGTACGGTACATGCCGGTAGGTATGCTGGACCCTGTGAATTCATGCGTGGTATGGTAAATAGCTACTCATGTAGGTACAGCTGCAGCAGACGAGTCCCTGCACAATGGTCTCTTGGGAGACGGCCACGCCAGACCTGCTAGTCGGTGAGCAGAGAGTTTCTTAAGCACGAGACACGTTTCGAGCGGGCCTGCTGTTATGGCATACAGCGTAGGTAAACAAGGCCACAAGGCCAAACAACAAGCCGGGCGCCAGGGCAAGGGCCTCTTCCCCTCAAGGCTCAAGCCGCACTGTGATGAGATGGGCCTAGCTGCAGAGAGTATAGAGAGAGTAGGGAGACAAGGTTCTGGGTTGGCTGAGCTTGAACTTGGTGATGCGTGGCACGGTGGCGTCGCGTCGTCTGTCGTTATGCAGCCCCGAATCGGGTTAGCGTACGCTAGGCTTAGTACACAATGCTAGTAAACAACAACAACAACTTGGTATGCCGGCCATCTTAAAGTCACCCACCGCAGGACTTCGCATCATCATTACTGTTATTCTTCACCCACACCGCAGCAACAGCAAGACCTCACGGCTCCTGCGCCTACACTTCGGGAAGGCATACCACGCGCGCCATTACTTTGCGCTGCCACGAGTCCCTCCGCTTTCGTCTGAAGTCGTGCGCCCGCCGCCAAACCGCACCGTCGCCAGTAGAATCTGCCACAGCAGGAAGCACTCTCTTCATAGCACTGCGCCAGCTTCAATGTCTTCTCAGCACCGAGAGCGCGTAGCCAAAATGCCCCGCGCGACCACAACCAGCTATGGACAGGTCATCGAGGTATGGCCAAAACAAACATCATAACAAAGCGATAGACACAGGGCCCACTTCTGACACGTCGTGCTTGCAGTACATCCAAGACCGACTCTACCTAGCATCCTACACGCACACGCCAGATGCGACCACGCCCTTCCCATACCCCAAGCAGTGCCAATCGCCCTCGAAGCGATCATCGCGGGCTCAAGTGGGTCCTACCGCTGCCGGGGCTAAGGCAATTCCACCCGTCTACTTTAGTATCGATAAGACGCTCCTCTACAATGCCTTCCATGGCGATTTTGGCCCACTTCACATTGGCCATCTTTACCGCTTCGCTGTGCAATTGCATGAGGTTCTCGGCGACCCTGCCAATGAGGACAGGGCGGTCGTCTTTTGGAGCAATGCCGATTCAAGGAGTACGAACTCCACTACCACCTTCTTCCGCTGTAGACACTGATGTACATAGGTCGTGCCAACGCCGCTTGCATTCTGGCCTGCTACATGGTCCTCATTCAGTCATGGCCACCCCATCTCGCTCTGGCACCCATCGCTCAAATGGACCCGCCATGCATGCCCTTCCGCGACGCCGGCTACAGCCAAGCCGATTACGTCCTCAACATCCAAGATGTTATCTATGGCGTCTGGAAAGCCAAGGAAGAGGGCCTCTGCGGTTTGAAGGATTTCAGCTTGGAAGAGTATGTTTGCCTGCTTCTGCTTGGCCTACCTAATCATCTAATACTTTCTCAGGTACGAGAAGTTTGAACGAGTAGACATGGGCGACTTCAACTGGGTTACCCCTCAGTTTCTGGCTTTCGCTTCGCCACAACAGCAGCCTACCCACGAGATCCCTCCATCTTCGCCGTTGTACGCCACGCTTCCCTCAAACGTAGCAGAGATTCAGCGATCTGCACTACCCGGGCCTTTTAAGAATGTCTTGTCTCATTTTACGACACGGAATATCGGCCTGGTGGTGCGCCTGAACTCAGAGCTTTACTCTTCGTCATACTTCACCAAGCTCGGCATTCAACATCTGAACATGATCTTCGACGATGGCACATGTCCCCCCATGTCGCTGGTACGCAAGTTCATCAACCTTGCGCACGAGATGATCACGGTACACAAGAAAGGCATCGCTGTCCATTGCAAGGCAGGACTTGGTCGCACAGGCTGCCTCATTGGAGCCTACTTGATCTACAAGCATGGCTTCACCGCAAACGAGATCATCGCATATATGCGCTTCATGCGCCCGGGTATGGTGGTTGGGCCCCAGCAGCACTGGCTCCACTTGAACCAGTCTACCTTCCGTGAGTGGTGGCACGAGGATACTATGAAGGCGAAGTACGCTCAGATGATGCCATCCACGCCGACCAAATCCCCGCATAAGCAGCGTCTTGCAAGCAACGGCCAAACTTTCACACCACCAAACGGTTCGCAGAAGCGTGCTGCGCTGGGAGAGATCGAGTCAAACGAGAGGAGCAACGGCGCTCATTCACATATAGGTGTACAGGAGGATAACCTCCCCGCTCCCACACCTGGTCAGCCGCGCAAGACTAGCAAGCTGTACGGCAATACCACACGACAATCACCACAGCGCATCGATGAGAATGAGCCTCTTGCACGATCACATACTGAGGTTCGAGCTGATATTACGCGCTTTGATGGCGAATCGGACGAGGAATTTCACCTGAGACAGGTCGCACGGAGAACCTCTTCACGGTCCCCAGCACGCTCTCCAGTATTGAAAGACAAGCAGCGCCGCGCTTTCAGCACGACTTCCGTGATCCAGACTTCCTCAGTCACGCATACATCGTTTGGCTTTGGTGATGAAAGCGACCTTGAGAACACTGCCCCCGCCAGCGCTCGTCCCAAGACTCCGAAGGACAAGAGCGGCAGCGGCTTAAGCATGGGCAAAATCCGATCCAGCCCTGCACGAAGAAGCACTGATGGCAAGAGCGGCATCAGAAAGACGAGCGGGCGAGTAGGAAGCGTCGGCAACACGATCGGACGCACGAAGTCATGAAATCTGTTTTCTGATTTTGATCTTGAGTTTTCGTCATCATCTGCATAGTCTGATTGCATGCATCACAGGCGCAGCGGAATTCAATTTCTTCCTCATCATGAGCCATATCTTGTTGTTCCCGATGGGAATTCAGCGGTACATATCTCGACCTAAAGGCGGGCGTTCTGGATTATGATGTGCTAATATGGGTCGGGAGTTCACGACCTGGAGTAAATGGGCGGCGTACGGGTTGCTAATGTCTTCTCTTTTTTCATGTCTCCTTACTACCACTATCGATTTGGGTCCGGCAGTTTTTTGTCCTGCTTCTATTCGACAGCCTGCTGCGGATTTGGCCATGACTTGTATGAGTTAATGAGCGCCTAGTCTTAACTGATCAACCACTCGAATTATTCTTCAATCGTGTGACTTGTATGATGATCATTTCATGTGTTTGAAGGATGGTGGCGAGTTCATATTGTGTATGGTAGGCAGGTAGATCGTTTCCACCAATGCTCGTCACCTGTACCCACCGTTGCGGTCGTCAGGGTCCACCAGAGAGGTCTCATGCATAATCTCCTCGGCCCGAAAGGCCCTACATCGCACTGTCCTCATGGGCATATGTGGTTCCTATCTGAAGCAAGTCACTCAACCACCACACGTACCTGTCATATCCATCATAGCCGCTGGCAATGCGGCAGCACGGGAAACTCATGACAAGCCGCAGTCAAAGCCAAATTATACGACCCGAGCGCCACACGATACGACTTGATCGAGTAAACCGTCGCCAGGATACCAAAAAGGATCGTCAATGCGAAGACTCCAAAGATGGCAACCCACAGAGTTGCAAATTGTGATAGATTCCGGGTGTCTGTCAATGTTTGTGTGGCTGTTTCTGGAGGCCCATGCAGGATCCGCAACAACTGCGCCAAATGATTCCGCCAGTGTATGAATTCGTCGAGATCGTACGGCCGTGGACCTCCAGACGATATGCTGTAGAAGTGCACGCCTTCAGTTTCGAGGAAGTCTGCTGATTTGGAGTCGCCAAAGGGGAAGAGGAGGTCGAGTGTTCGAATTGCTTCTTCGAGAATTGATGGATCGATTATGGTGGGATTGGGATCCCTGAGATGATTTACGAGGAGGATCTTGTGCCGGTATATGAAAAGGCTTCTGCGGCCGCGCAGGCCCTTCATACGGAGATGATCGGCTAAATTGTGCGTCCATTGAATGCGCAGTCGACAAATGTTCTTCAAGTTCACCGCTGTGAAGGATTCATCGAGAGAGAATTCGTCGATTGGAGCCCAGGATGCTTTGTTCGAAAGTTGCTTGGAAATGACTTCTGCAAGAGTTCTATCTGCGGGCCATTCGATGCGGCTTCCTCTGGGATAATTGGGGCCAACCGATAGGCTTTTCGAAGCGACGTTTATGCCCAGCCACAATCGTGCGGCGATTTCTAGAGACCGGGCAACATGCTCTGGGGTTGTTGATGTCGAGAGATTCTTCATCACCTCTCCTACGAGCGTTTCTCTAACCGAATTCTGGTAACGTCTTAGATTGGCGACTATGACAAGCAAACCCTTCACATCCTGGATAGCAAAACTCTGTCTATATGGCCACAAACCTGTACCCACCGCATCGATATAACCCAGGAAGTCGACATAATCCTCTTCAATGTAGTCCTCAACTTTCAGTCCCAGGTACGGCCAAAAGCCATTAATCAGGTCACATTTGCGATTATGTGACAGAAGAGCGAGATTTTGGGATTTTGAGAATATGGGAAGGTGTTCCATGCCAGATTTGAGTGTGACAATGATTTACTACGATGCTTCAGCGATAAGTATGAGAGTACTCTATGCAGCCCCCACTCTCAGCCTTGCGCCACTTCAGGGATGATTCGACGCATGTGTTCATCTTGCACATCAGCTGACAAGTCGCCTACACGACACCCCGCACCCTGAACAGGTTGCTGAACTAAGTTGGAAAATGTTCGTCCAGCCCTCACTCTACATTATTACAATGTGACCACACCCAGTTCAATCCGCATGGATCAGATCTAAGCTCGTATGCTAAATCCCACCCAGACCGTCGCATGTCATACATTATGGAAGACCCGCAAGTCTTACAAGATTGCAGAGGAGGGCCATGTATTGACTACTGAAAGTGTCCATATCGGTGCCAGTGCGAAGCCCAACGGGTTGGATAAGAATCTCGGGACCATGGATCCACACGTGGCCGCTTGTGATCCAACGAACCGTGACTTGTTACCAACAGGAGTCATTCGGTTGTCACAATCGCATGAGAATGTGCAATGGTGTTCAAAAAACAGTCCCAAGCTGTAGTACGTATACCCAGAGCAACGAGTCGGGCGGCGACATCTCAGTATCTATCGACGAGGAAACAAGTACAACCAAGTGTCTATTGATGCAGCCCGCGCTGACTTCAGATATCATTGTAGTAAGGCTGGCAAATTTTACAAAGGTTTTACTGAAGACGTTCCACCCCCAAAACATATTCAACAACACTGGGAAACGCAGGTCTTCGAACGTCTAGTGCTACACCTTGTCCTAATAACAGAGAGGCTTTCAAACACAACTCCTACCCTTCGAATTGAAGAGACAGCGACCGAGGCTGAACTTTGCATGGCAGGAAGAGGAACGAAAACTTTCTGGCGTACTGATAAAGAAGATTTTATACCTCTCACACCTACAGTTTGGATCGCATGTGGAGGCCGCAAATGCAAGCAGAAAGTTCGCGAGGAGATTGTCCGATTGCCGTACTTGAATCACTTCCTCTCAACACACCATATGAGCGCAGCTCATGTCTCACTGGGAGCACCGCGTCCAGCAACGACGATGAGTCTTATAGAACCTGATCAGAACACGGAGTCAGTCAAAGCTGTGTCTTTTCATATTGAGTCATTGCCCAATGGCAAGATGACCTGTGGCGCTAAGGCTAGGTTCACGGTACATACATCGCAGGGCAATCATGAACATTACTCCACTATCGGCGGCGTGATCAACGTGGAAGGTAAGACGTTCGCATTGACCACAGCTCATGGCGTTGCCAGCGAGATCGCCTACCGCAATGCCATTTCGAGGATCGATACTGCCAGCGATGGTACGCGCGAATCCGAATCTTCTAGTACAGATTCGGACAGCGATGAAGCCGGAAATTCCGAGGCAATGGCTCCTCCTGAGGCATTCCGAGAGAAGAAACAACAAGATCCTGGGTTAGATCACGTTATATGGAAAGAGATTCCGTTTCCCAGGACTATGGCATACCTTGGCTCGGGCACAATCACAAGGGATTGGAAGCTCCCTCAAAGTGCGCCCATAAACGCGGACTTTGCCCTTTTCGATGTCGGGTCGTCCATTCCCGTGCGAAATCAAGTGTGTATAGGCAATGCTACGGTGCGCCTTACAGGACATCTGCCTCTGAGCAAGCTGTCAGCTGGGAAGGTGCATATCATTACAGGTTGGAACAGTGAGGCTGTGGAGGGAGAGATGATGGATGGAGAATCTTGCATCATCCTCAAAGGTATCATTATGCGTACGAAGAAGATACGAACAGCTCCACTTCACAGTAAGTTACCTTCACCCGATGAAGCTCGGCCAGGCTTACTCACGGGGACGATTAACATATCTACTAGGCCAAGGCATCTCTGGCGCCTGGGTGATTCGAAACACGGAACTTTGTGGCATTGTGTATGCTGCTTATGACCACAGCCCTTACTTGCACATGATCCCTGCTCATACTGTCTTCTTAGATATCTCGAGAATGCTCAGTGCATCTCGAGTCGGGACCTATATTGATGGAGGACCGTCGTATGACAGCAGACCTCAAGTCGATCTGAATCTAATTGTAGGTGCAAAAAGCGTAGGCTGTGGTTCTGTAAGTCTATCCTTGGGTCATTGGCCTTCTCTCGGTGCGACGCCCTGTGCGACGCCCTATCATCGCCCTTGATTCACCGACCTGATCCTGGATGTAACTGATGCGCAATGCAGGAAATGGCGTCCTCATCACATGAGTCCATCGCTGCCGTTTCGACCTGCGCCATTCCGCTGTCCACTGATCGACATTGGGTGTACCTGATGCGAAGCAGCAAGACCCAGACCTGGACTTTCCCGTCCTTTTCCTGGGGTCCACGAGCATCCAACAAACTGCATAGCCTGTATGTCGTGGAGCAAGTCATACGGGACCGGTGGGGTATGATTTTGCGAGTTGAGAAAAGACTAGACTGGCGCCTCCATTTTGGCCGAAGGGCTAGTGGGTACAAGGAATATGTCCAAGCAACTTTATTAGCGTGGGATGTTCAGCCACGAGGGGCAACAGGAGCATGGTGTTCGTATTTGGAGGCTAGGAAGCGTTTGGCGAAGGAGCGGGAATGGCTGCTGGCATTGGAATGTTGCGACATGGTCCATGAATTTTGAGGTTGTGTTGTGGATTTTCCAAGGACGAGAAGGAGAAGAGGAACATACAGCATTGACAGTATGAAAGCGTTATTTAATTTGACGAGTTGTGTAAAGGGAGGGCCCACAGGATGTGTGTGAGGGTCACGTGACGCATGCTCGCTGTACCTGCCCCCTCCCTCCCCCCCCCCCACTTGTGACACTGCGCAGGCCTGTTTGGAAAGCTCAGCACTCGCGAGAACACGGCTTTGGCAACCGTGTGGAGCCTTGAAGAGCATGTATGCAGTATAGCATCAACATAGGGCGTGCGTCGTGAGTGCGCAATGTTACCCTGTGACTCTACACGGCAAATCGGGATGCATTCAGCATTTCTTCATGGGCACGCAGGACATGGAACTGACAGAGACGGTGTGTGCTCTAGGCTAGCCACGCCACTGCAGGCCCAAAGACATGCATGTAAGACGACGACGATGCTAGAGTAGAGCACAAGCAGAATAGGTACTCCACTCTAGACAAGACGCCTTCTCTTTGCTCGGCTCGCCTTTGATTGCCGTTTTGTTGGGCGATGGACTACTGCAAGTAGAGTAGGGCTGGGTGAGATGTTTAATGCTTAGAATAGCAATGGCTGACGCCACAGTTGAGTGGAACTACTTAGTACTAGCACGGTACTCTACTCTTGGGTAGGATGTGGCTGTGGCTGTGGCTGTGGCTGAGACTAGGCCAATGACGCGTCGTCTTCGTCGTCGTCGTCGTCGTCGTCGTCGTTCGCTTGAAGCTTCCAAGGTTGGTTGTTTGGTTCAAGGACGCTCCTTCCTTCTCTCTGCCCTTTCCTTCCTCTCCTTCTAGTAGCCGTGACCCGGAAATCGGCCCCACAAACTAAAATGTGTGCTGTCGTACTATAGTCGGAGAGTAGAGAGTACTCTAGCTGGCATTCTTTTTGTTTTTTTCCATTCTCTTTCTTCTCCCTCTTGGCTAATTGCTTGGGTTGCGTTTTGTCGCTCTTCTTGTTCTTGCATCTTGTGAAACGCAAACAACTCGTTCGCGGACAACGGGTTGACAACGCCTCGTCGGTGACCTGCACCTGCCAGACCTACACACACACACACACACACACACACATACACACACCACACACACACACACACACACACACACACACCACACACACACACACACACACACATACACACACCACACACACACACACACACACACACACACACCACACACACACACACGCACATCATGGCGTCCAACGACTACTACAACACATCGTACACTCCGACAGGCCAGCCGCACTCGAAAAATGACGCTGCGCTCCCTCCAGTACCGAGCAACCAGACGCAGTACTCCGTCTCCCCCATCTCAGCCTCCCCCTTTGACGACCGGCCGTACCCCCCGAATACCTCTTCTGGCGCGCTCGGTGGCTATCCCGACCACTACTCGACTCTGGAATACAATCCACATGCACAATACAGTTCGGCTCCACAGGTGAACGACGGCCAGAATCGATACGATTCGCCAGGCCCTGGGCGACATCCAGATCCCTTTGCGGACCAGAACGCGATACCGCTGCGCCCCCAGCCGGCTATGGATGACCAAAGCTCGACACAGTACAGCCAGGACCCAGAAAGATATGGCCTAGGTGTGGAACCGGCGCGGAAACACCGGAAGAAGAAGCAGAAGGAGGGCTGGTTTAGTGGGAGGATCACATGGGTGGTCTATCTCCTGACCACGGTGCAGATTGGCGTCTTTGTTGGAGAGCTGATTAAGAATGGTATGCCTTATCTCTACCCTGCTAAGAAATTAACCCACGAGTCCAGCATGTAGAGCCGCGAGCCGTAGCTAATCCAACTTCAGGCATTCTCACAGGCTCCCCGATTCAAACCAAACCAAATTTCAACATCATGATCGGCCCCTCCCCCTACGTAACCATCAACATGGGCGCCCGCTTTACACCGTGCATGCACAACATCCGCAAAGTCATTGACAACCGCGTCACCAACTGGCCGTGCCCCAATACCACCTCCCTCGACCCCGCATCCCTCTCCTGCTCCCTGGGCGACCTCTGTGGCTTCAGCGGCGTCTCCGATCAAACCGACGTGACGGATTTCCGCGACCGAAGCCGCGAGCCGAATCAGTGGTGGCGCTTCATCGTGCCCATATTCCTTCACGCGGGGCTCATCCACATTGGTTTCAACATGCTCTTGCAACTGACTCTGGGTCGAGACATGGAAAAGGAAATCGGCCCCCTACGCTTCACATTAGTCTACTTCGCCGCAGGCATCTTTGGCTTCGTCCTGGGCGGAAACTACGCAGCAGACGGTCTCGCATCCGTCGGCGCATCCGGTTCTCTCTTCGGCATCCTAGCCCTCACCCTCCTCGATCTCCTATACAACTGGTCCACACGCCGTTCCCCCGTGAAAGACCTCCTCTTTCTCCTCCTTGACGTCGCCATCGCCTTTGTCCTCGGCCTACTCCCCGGTCTAGACAACTTCTCGCACATTGGCGGCTTCCTCATGGGCCTCGTGCTCGGCATCTGCCTCCTACACTCGCCGGAATCCCTGCGCGCGAGGACGGGCACCGATGAGCCGCCGTATGCAACCGTGGACACGCAGCCCCTTGCCCCCACGGCCACGGAAACCAAGAGCAAATTCGCAGTCTTGACCAAGAGTCCGCTCGGCTTCTTCAAGGGCCGCAAACCCCTCTGGTGGGCCTGGTGGCTGGTGCGCGCCGGTGGCCTCGTGGCTGTGTTTATAGGATTCATTCTGCTGTTGAGGAACTTTTACGAGTGGCGGAATACATGTAGTTGGTGTAAGCATTTGACTTGTTTGGTAAGTTCTTTATCGTCGTTTTCCTCAACACTATACCCATGTCCCCTCATCCCCCTTACTCTCTGCTTCCTTCCTCCGTTACACTGTACATGCGCAACTAACAAACCCACTACAGCCCATTACTACAAACGGTGTCAGCTGGTGCGACATTGGTGGCCTCAGCCTGACGGATGGTCCGGCGCAGAATAATACGAGGCGCGCGCTCGAGTCGGGGAATATGGCCGACTTTGTAACTGGGGCGGCGTCGTTGCTGTTGTGAGTGCGTGTGTTCCAATAGTGAGAGTCTAGTATCAGAGTCGGAGTCGCAGCACGTGTTTGTGGAGTGGGAAAGCATGCATGCCTGGCGCATTGGGTTCGGGTCATGGGGTATTTTTGCATGGCATTGGAGGCCGGGGGAACTGGCGGGGATACATTGCATTATTAGCAGGCAGATAACCTACACACGATGATATGAAACACGTGTGAGTCATTTTTTTTCTCTTCAAGAGAAGAGTATTCTGGAGAGACGGCAGTTATACGAAGAGACTAGTGCTGTCATAGAATTGAGGAGTTCAAATATTCCTTGTGTCAAGTGTTGAAACACTGGCCAAGCCAGCCTCGTTTGCAATAAGAGACCTGCCTGCTGCGTCCACCTTTCAGACAGGGCAATCCGTTGGTCAATCACTTTCGGGTAAACTACTTTCAGAGAGAGGCCCTTGAGCAGGATGCTCAAGAAACTTTCCAATCCCATCCTCATCTACATCTACATCTACCAGCGCGAAGTCCCCCTAAACATACCGCCAATCTGCGCCGCCGCCTTGACCGGCTCCTTCCAGTCTGGAGGCGTGGTCACCATGTACCGGAGATAGCTAGCAACCGGGGCCCTATACTTTTCCATGTGGCCAGAAACCGGGTCTGTAATGAAGACGGTCTGATTATTGAGATGGTCGGGGCGAACCTGTTCGTCAACGGCCAAGAAGCCGCCAGAGATGCGGTCGAGAAAGATGTTGTAGTCGTCTGCCTTGTTGATTGGGCACTTTGCGCCGCGAGATTCGCAGTGTGCAATGAGCGCCGTGGCGGATTTGAAGTATTTGAGGCATGTGGGACACTTGATGCGCGTGATGCGGTGGTCGCCGAGAATGTGCTGGTTGAGGTCGGACACACTTTCAAAGGTCTGTCTGTTAGAGGGAGGGAGATGTTAGAAAGATCTGGAAATCGAGTGGAGGGGGTGGTATAATCGGACTTACTCGCACACAAAGGGACAGGCGAACTTGTTGAGGACCGAGTCGTAGAACTTTTCTGGATTCCAGTCGCTACTCATCGGGTCCCAGAAGCGCGTTCGCATGATATTGATGCCTTTTTGGTCCTCCATAGCCTCGTCGTGAGCTAAGATTGAGAAGTCGCTAGGGGCAGGAGTCGGCTTTGCATGGGGGAAGAGAATGTTGGTGGCCGTCTTACCAGCACGGCTTCCCCACGCCTTAGGTCGGCGAGATGTGAATGCTACACTAGAACCTTGGACTGAAGACCCAGCACGGGAAGACGCGCCGTTCAAAGAAGGAAAAGTGGCCGCGGCTGAGGGTCTGATGATGGAAACTTCAGAATCATCGGTGATGGACATGTCACCAATGCTCGATGCTATTTCATACCAACCCTTGTTGACCTGCGATGGCAGAGGCGGGTACGGGACAGCAAATGCTTGGGACAGTGGCGTCTCAGGTGGAGTGTCGGGTTTGAGCGCCGCGAACTTGACCTCTCCAATAGCATCGTCGACTTCCAACGGATTTCCTTCAAGTTCGACGCCACCTTCTTCTTCATAGTCCACGGCTGCATCATATTTGGAAGTCTTCTGTTTGAAACGTGCATAGGCTGTACCGTCTTTGAGAAACTCGGAGATCAAGTGCTTGTGAACGATGTGGCCTTGGAATTGGTTGGCGGTGATCACCGCACAGTGACCATATTCGAGATGTTCAATGAAGAGGCATGCACGATAGTATGTCTGCTGACATCCGATGCAGGTAAGGCTCTGGTCAAGCTTGTGGTTCTATGCTTTCTTTAGTAGATGTCAAATACTGTAGTACAGCGATACTCACTAGCTCAATGTGGCGCTTTAGGCCAGAGTCTGACTTGAATTCATCACCGCAAACCCGACAAGCCTTCTTGTGTTCGACGGGCTTTATGATCTTATGTTGAATGTAGTCTTCAATGGTGTCAAAGTCTTCATTGCACAAATGGCAGTATTCGTGCTCCTCTGAATATCTCTTGTGGCGCTTCATGGCCTTTTCGTTGACGAAATACAGGCCGCAGCTTTGATAAGTGCATTTGATCCTGGGGGTTGAATCTGTTCCGGCGGTCATGGTTGATGTTGCTTGCTTGTCGTCTTATGTCCGATATCGTGGGATGTGGGTTCTGTTGATGTACCTAGGACGGTTGTGCAGTCAGTAAAGAGTTGAAGTAAGGCTGTACGAGTGCGCGCTGCGGTGACGGATCAGTGACAAGATAGACCATAGATAGACCATCCATCTGAGCGCAACGGAGGCAATCCAGAACGTACCGTTAGCAATATCGCCACTTTCTGACCGTTGAAGCGAGTGCTGGACCAGGTGAGGTACAAAGACGAGTATCGCCGGCAGTGGAAGAGAGAAGGTGAGGCTTTGACGAAATTTATTTGTTGCGACAAACAGGCAAATGCAAGTGAGCGCAAAATTGGACATTTGCTGGTCAACGCGCACGAGGTGAAGGCGGATGAGGAAGGTGTCATAGCGCTAGACTGAAACTGAGGAAGGCACGACTGCCTTGGAGAGTTCCCATCAAAGAATTTTATCCAGATGGCATGGAATGACAACTAGAGTATGCAACGCATTCTCTTCTCCTTGCCATCTTTCCTTGCTTCTTATCATAGACAGACTGGCTGTTCTCTGTCGACTCCAGCCATCTGTTTAGTACTCCCACTAGAGAAGAATTTCGAGGGTGACACAAGAGAAAGGTTACACATCATCGTCCATATCAAGCGCGTTGTTTCATTCTGCAAAAAGCTAATGTGGTGACTATCCAGTTGAGCACACATTGTGGTGTGTGTATAAATCGTTTAGAAGCGCGTATATGGCAACCTATAACTTGGTCAATCACTGTTCACCAGGTAAAGCATCTACTTTCAACGTACCATTTGCCCCTCATTGTGATCTTTGCCCATTCACCCTTCTCATCCGTCTCTTTCTCAATCTTTGTGCTGAAGCTAATGGCACTCATGATGCCATCACCAAACTTCTCGTGCAAAACCGCCTTGTACGCCTGTCCGTAGTTTTGGACAATTTCGTATAGCCGATAGATGGTAGGATCTTTTGGTGGCATGTCGAGTGTGCTTCCACGGTTAGGGAACCCAGAGAGATCCGACTCCAACTGCTCAGCAGAAATCTCCAACACCTCGGCTAGTTTGGTGATGTCTTCTGCTGATGCCATAGCTTGGCCGTAGAAAAGAGCTGCAACCGCAACTTCATCGCGCCCAACGTGCTTCGCAATGGCTTCGAATGACAGATTTTTCTTCTTCTTTGCCTCGAAGAGGCTGATGGACGATGGTGGTAGGCGAGGTTTAAGTTCCTCCTAGAGGCACGTCACGTCAACTCCCGTGTCACGACTAGAGTCTAGTTGGAGCCTTACATTGAGGGTAGCAATTGGATGTTGTGACATTGTGGATGGTGTGAAGTGAAAGCAACGAGATGCAGTGAATGCTCTCCCAGATCGTGCAAAGGTTGCTGTAATGGGCACAGCCGTGCGAGTTGCTAATCTAGTAGACCTTGCCAAACGGGCTGGCAAAGCCATGATTGTGAGAGGTCTACAGTTATATATACAGAAACCTGGCAAGATAGATTGTTGGTGTAATGCAGTGGTCGCGATAAGCTGAGGAGGCCTGGGGTGTGGCCATGCCGAATGCTCAATCGTACGTCATGTACTCCGCTGCCGCTGCCCATGGGTGGTACGGTAATCCATTGGCTCGGCATGGCAAGACAGCTGATAGCGGTAGCTGAATACGCATCTCAGTACTATCGGCCCATGACAGTTTTGAGTTGACGAGCTTAGAAAGCTGATCTGCGCGGCAATCCCTCGTACGGCACAGTGCTCTGCGACATTGGTTGTTGATTAGGTAGAGCAAGAGTAACGTTACAAGGCGAATGCCATGCCGATACGGTACCGGTACCGGTAGTACCGTACACATGACAGAGTGGGTGGCGCTCCACGAAAAGAGACTAGACAAAGTCCATACCTACAATGGACTCAAGGCGCACAATGAATGGCAGTGCCTGTTTGCTGGACTCTGCTGGATTCTACTGGCCTACGATTAGAGTACGAGTTGCATTTCACATGCGTGTATGTAGGTATCCAGAGAATCTCGTTTGTATGTGAGGGGCCCCCAATGACTACGCAGCACCGCACACGACCGGCATTGCGCGGGGTAGAGGTACCTACGGTCCCAGTAGAGCTCACAGCCCCACCACTTCTCAGCTTCCCCATCATCACAACCAGCAACACACTCTCACTGCTGGACTTGAGAGTCGAGGGCGAGCCAGTGAATATCCATCTGGCACCATGTCTCGAAGAGACGACGATCTGGCATATGGGGACTATAATGAGCAGGAAGGCCGACAGGGCGATCGCGGGCTGATAGGTGACATGGGCCGGCGCTTCTTTGGCGGCGGCAGAAAAGAGGTGAGTGAGTGAGTGAGTACCTGATCGTAGCCCAAAGGGTATGCGGTCATGGTATCCCCAGTTTGTGGATGCGGGAAGCTTGGAAAAGGGCACCTGCAGAGTCCATCTCTAGCTTCGAATCAACTCCAGCCCCTCTTCTCTTCTCGATCAAGCTACAAACTTGGCAATTCCCTCAAAATCACACCCAACGCCTTCGAGGAGCTGGGCTTTACCATCTTGGAGTGTGCATAGCATCTGACTGAGAAATCACAGGATAGCCAGCAACAACAGTCCTCCTCAAGCGGTGGCGGTATGTCTTTCTTCAAAAAGGTCCACGATCCTCTGCACGACTTCGTCTCCGATCTCAAAGACGCAATCTCGGGCAAAGACGACGACAAGCCCGCTCAGGGCAGCAACTTGCAGCAGGCACAATCGCAACAAGACGGGCAAGCTGCGGCACAGCCCGGACCAGACTACCATCAGCAGCACCGCTATCTGAGCTTCGCGCCGGAACGACATGGCAACGAGACCAAGTGGTACGTGGACGGCTGTAGTTACATGTTCGCCGTATCCGTTGCGTTGGAGCGAGCACGAGAGTCCATCTGGATTTTGGACTGGTGGCTGTCCCCTGAACTGTACCTTCGACGCCCTCCGGCCAAGAACCAACAGTACCGTGTTGACCGAATGCTGCTTGCTGCGGCTGAGCGTGGCGTCAAGGTCAACATCATTGTATACAAGGAGGTCACCCAAGCTTTGACTCGTAAGTTGTTGAATCCAGTATTACCCGATTATCTACACTCTCTTTTGCCTCGTTCGACGGACAAGTTCACGAGATGTCTTACTCGAATCGGGCTGGATGTCATATTCAGGTCTCTGGAAGAGTGGGAGAAAACAGATCCGCTGATAGCACCACCCATTACAGTCTCATCCGCCCATACCAAGCATCATCTGGAAGAGCTCCATCCGAACATTGGTGTATTCCGACATCCCGATCACTTGCCAGATGCCGCAGTACTACAGTCCTCGTTCATCTCGTCACTACAAAATATGTCGCTTTCTCCAGCAAAGCTAGCTCAAATGCCTGGAGACGGTCTCAAGGCGATCTACGGGGCTCATAACGGAACAGTCATGTACTGGGCGCATCACGAGAAGCTATGTCTAATCGATGGCCAAATAGCCTTCATGGGTGGCCTCGATCTATGTTATGGCCGATGGGACACCAATCAACATGCCATTGCCGATGCCCACCCTGGGAACATGGATCGCATAGTATTTCCAGGCCAAGACTTCAACAATGCCCGTATGCTGGGTAAGCAGTCCCTCCTTATAGTACTCTGCAAGTGAATGGCGGGCATATCGCAATCTGCCTCTCAGACAGCTTGCGATTCAAGCAGAGGAAGGACAGCTGCATCTAGCATCGAAGCCACTGTGTAGTGTGCAGTCAAATTTTACTCAAAAGCAACGCGCAGACAGATGCAGTATCAACGCTGACACTATCACAGACTTTGTTGATGTAACCAACTGGGAGAACAACAAGCTTGACAGGTCCGAAAGCTCTCGCATGGGATGGTCTGATGTCGCGCTGTGCCTGGCGGGACCAGTCGTTCAAGATCTCCGAACACATTTCACGCAACGCTGGAATTTCATCTACGATGAGAAGTACAGCAAGAAGGCTACCCGGTACTCTCGACTACCCGATACAAGCAGCGGTGCTCAGCAAGTAGGTGGCTATCCTCCGCCTCCAGGTCAGCAGCGCGAGTTCGAGGATGAACAAGACGGTCAGCGGGGTTTCGGTGGTGAAGGCGGTGAAAGGGGACTCTTTGGCCGTCAAGGTGGTGATCATCATTTTCGCCAGAAGATTTATAGCAAATTTGATGAGTTTCAGCATCAGGGAGAATCTTCTGAGGGTGGCAACCAGCCTCATGTTGAGCATAGCTCTCAGAGGGGCGGAACCGATTGTCAAATCACCCGCAGCTCTACCAAGTGGAGTCACAACATTTCCACAGAGGTCAGTGCGCTTGTTGTAGGCACAGAACAGAGCTAATATGGGCACAGCATTCGATTCAGAACGCTTACTGTGAAATCATCCGGAACAGCAAGCACTTTATTTACATCGAGAATCAATTCTTCATTACGGCGACAGGAGATCAACAGAAGCCTATCAGGAACAAGATTGGTGAGGCAATCGTCGAGCGTATAGTTCGTGCTGCCCGCAACGGCGAAAAGTACAAGATGATTGTAATGATTCCAGCTGTCCCGGCTTTCGCTGGCGACCTTAAACTCGACGAAGCTCTGGGAACTCGTGCTATCATGGAGTTTCAGTACAATTCGATCAATCGGGGTGGCCATTCGATTTACGAAGAGATTGCCAGAGCCGGCTTCAATCCCATGGATTATATTCGATTCTACAACCTCCGCAGTTATGATCGTATCAACTCCAGCGCAGTCATGCGTGAAGCCGAGCAGCGCAGCGGTGTGTCGTATTCACAAGCTCAAGAAGGCTACGATGCAGCGCATGATAACGCTCGAGAATACCAGGCTTACCGTCCACCACCCACCAGTGAGTATGGTGTGTACGAGATGGACGCCTCATCCAATCCTCCGCCTGCGCAGTACCAACAGCAGCATGACGGAAGACCTCAGAGCGAAGGCGATCCAAATGATTACAACCGTTACCAACAGGAGGCGACCAAGATTGGTGGCCGACAGGGTCTCGGTGATGGCCGCTGGGATACAGTCAGCGAATGCTACATGCTCGGTGGTGAAGATATTCGAAACGTTCCGTGGGAAGGTGAAGCAGCACAAGAAATGGATGCTTTTGTCTCTGAAGAGCTCTACATCCACAGCAAGCTCTTGATTGCCGACGACCGGATTGTCATTTGCGGCTCTGCCAATCTCAATGATCGTTCGCAGCTTGGAGATCACGATTCTGAGATCGCCGTCATCATCGAGGATCCGGATACAATCGAATCCACGATGGATGGCCAACCATGGCGTGCATCTAAATTCGCAGCTTCTCTACGTCGTGAGATCTTCCGGAAGCATCTTGGTCTGCTCAAGCCCCAAGATATGGAGCGACCTGATCCGAACTATGAGCCGGTCGGTACACCGAATGTATACGATTGGGGCTCGAACGAGGACAGACAGGTGGCGGATCCGCTTGCCGACGAGTTCCAAAACTTGTGGAATTGGAGAGCACACACCAACACGCAAGCCTTTGGTAAGATTTTCCACCCAGTGCCGACTGATGAAGTCAGGAATTGGAAGCAGTACGATGAGTACTACTCTCGGTTCTTCGGGCAGGACCAGAAGAGCAAGGAGGAAAAGAAGCCTAGCTTGTACAAGTGGGGCCATGTGGTAGCGGAGAACTTCAGCCAAGGCGAACAGGGTGTGCGTGAGGTCAAGGAATTGCTGAGCACTATAAAGGGCACGCTTGTGGAGATGCCTCTTCTCTTCTTGAAGGAAGAGGATATCGCGCAGGAAGGCGTGGGCCTCAACGCGTTGACCGAGGAGCTATATACATAGACGATGCTACGTGCTGAATGGCCGAAATGATACGATGTATGGCTGGTACATGAGTGCAAAAGGAATGTGATGTATCATACCACAGTAAATTCCTGAACCCTAATCCGTCAAACACGTGGGGCCAAGAACATATGTAGTGTACAGTTTGCTCACATGGTATACGACACCTGTTCCTATTCCATCTTGCGTGCTAGCGGCTATACGAACCGGGCCTACTTGGCCCAAGCCATGATCCTAGCCCCCTATCCTTCACGCATGCGCGTGTGAAGGTTCCCTCGAATTTCCCAACGAGTCCTCCTTTCGCGCCAGGTCGGAAGTGGTTTCCGCGTGCTGTACGCTATGCCTCGATTTAGCATCCGCAACGCCGCCATCGTCATCAATTTCTTTCTCCTCATCGCGCTCTTCCTCCACTTCAAGTCGGAGATCCGGGGGGATACCCCAGACTCGGTCGCAGGGAGACGAGTTGGCGAATCACACCTACACGACGAAGTCTTGGACGAGACGCAGACACATGCGGGTGCTGGGCATGCAACAGCACAGGGGAAGAGCAAAGAGTTGAAGGCGAACGGTGGGGTGAAAGCTCGCCGTACCGCCGTCGTTGTCGCAAGCCAGGCCTCGGAGAACACAACGTGGCTTGACGACTACTTTCCAGATTGGGAAAAGAATATTTACCATGTCGATGATCCGCAGGCTGCACTCACTGTGCCGAAGAATAAGGGGCGGGAAAGCATGGTTTCGGCTGGCCCACCAGCGACTTAGAAACGA